TTTGTTACGGGCAAATTACTGCAGAGCTGCAGATAAGGCTGTAGGTGCACTAACGCTCCCTTCCTGCACCTGCTCACACACATGGAATCAAATGTAGGTCCCATTTTCCTTGTCCCACCTCAACCACAGGCTGCCACCTCTCCCTTGCTGTCACTGCAGCTCTCAGACAGGCAGGGATCAAACCTGGCTCAGCTGAAAACCTCCCACAACAACAGAAGTTTATTTTTGCAGATCAGTTCCTGAACCAGCTTGTGCTGCAGCTCCACAAACACGGACATGCTCARAGGCAGAGCATGCTCACTGGAGTGTCCCTCTCAGCAGCAGCCTTGTTTTATGGTAGATTACAGCAATCCCGGAAAACACTGCAGAACTGCAGTACAAACACTACCAGACAAAATTAACAAAYGCCTCAAGTATTAAGAATAGTATTAATCCATTCCAAGAGACACTCTAACCTGCACAACACAAGCTACAGGATTCTCCAAGTATTTGGATTAGTATTTCCCTCTGAAATGGAGATTCAGTTTTGGTTACAGACTCCAAGTAACTAAAAATATAATGCTCATTATGTAAATTCATTCTTCAAACAAAAACAGAAGAACAACCACATGACAAACAACCCACCCTCCACAAGAAACACAATTTCCCTCTGAAATCATCTAGCGCCTACTACACCTTTTTATGACTTCACATGCTAAAAACGCATGTCTTAATTTAGTCATTAAATGGGCCAACCACCACAGATCTTTTTCTTATGTCTACAAGAGCACAAACAAAAAAAACTTTTACATTTGTCATGTAGTAACAAATTAAACTTTTCAAAAGTAAAGGAAAGAGCAGTTGCAATTTCAGCTTCCACCAGCGATGCAAAAGCATTTTAGATAAATCTAAATATTTTTAGATAAATAATATAAATACATTTATTTAAGGTAAATAAAATTCAGACACTTTAACTTACTTTTCCCCTTTGGTTTTRATTTTCCTTCTTTCACTTTTTCTCCTGTGATAGCAGCAAGCTCTGCTTCAAGGTCCCCATCATCCTCACCTTCCTCTGCACCCAGTAACATCTCTTCAGGGTTGAAATCCACAAATAGCCCCAGCTGGAGTCAAGGGAAAATAACAATAAAGAATAATAAAAAAACATACAGTTGGAACAAAGATGACACTCAAAACCATCACTCTGCATGGATTATTTAGACATTTTCATGCATTCTGAATTCTGTTTGTTTTTTTTTTACAACCCACTATCATACCACTTCTATTACCACAACAACGCATACAAGGCATCCATTACTGGTGTAAATAAATCTTAATATCCCACAAATACTCACTTTAAAACTCTATACAAACCATTACTTAAAATCAATCCTATTTAACAGTCTGACATAACAAGGTAAAATAAAATGCTTCACTGAGTCATGAAGCAGATAGCATCAGGGAAGTTCARGGCAGTGCCTGTAACAGCTAAGCTAAAAAATATTCACTCATCACACACAACAGGTCTGACACGTGTAAACTGCAGAGACTTCACCCTTATCTCCTGGAGAAGCTGCACTTACATACACAGAACTGTTCTGTCTTCTTGTCACAGCAGTTTCTAAATCATAAACACACAGAAAGCACACACACAAATCACAGCCATTGAAACCCAGCAATGCCCACACTCCACTGGAAAAAAACCATCAAACTGGCTGGCACAGATCAGCTTAGTGATAACATCTCAGAGAACAGCATTAATAACAGTAATCAGAATTTCACAGTAGGAGTTATCAGTGTATTGTGGCAAAACATTCCAAAGGACATCAAAGAAATCTCTGGGGTCGTAATCTAAAAGGTGTTCTTTTAAAATGCCCTTTTATCACAGTTTTTGTATTTCTGGTTAAGATACTAATGGCCTCAGAAAAAACGACATTTTTATCTGAMGTATGCTAGGACTTTTTATAAACATGAATTGACYRAATTAGATTCATCCTACGAGGCAGRGGAAGGTTTCCCCAGACTTTTCCAAAGCACAAGCCCCTGCTGGTTTATTGATCCTCACATGGCCAAGGAGGCAGCACTTCAGCATCTCTCCAGCACAGGAAGAACCATCAGTTGTCATAATTCTGAGGGTTAACAATATCCTTCTGTCTCAAAGGTCTGAAGTGCYGCAAGAAGCTGCCTGTCAGTTTATAAATTAATGTAATAAAATTCTTTTWTTTAACCAAGTAGGAATCAAGGTGCTGGTAGCCACTGCCCTAAAATACTGTGCCCCTCTTTAGACCATTTTATAATCCCAACGGAGGATGTGAAACACAGCTGAGAAACACTGATTCCAAGGACCAGCAACAGCATACAAAACAAGCAGGTATTTGTWTCTTAGCTCTGATCCTGCCCTTGACATTCCACAAGGCATGGGGCAGATCAGTCAGCCACCCTCTGCTTTATCCATCTCCCAGCTGTAAAGCAAAACCAATGYATTCAAAGTCTTGGCTAGAACTGAAAGGAGGTCAGGACAAGATTTAAATAGGAAATATTTATAACGGTGATCTAAAGAGTCAAGCTGTATGGAACACACATAGACCTATCACAAATCTGCAGAATGGATCAAGAGCACAGAGGATCTGTTCATTAYCACAGGGCAAGAGTGGACAGTGAAGTTACTGCAGTAATCAATGAAGACAAGAACAGAACCCAGCAGCTCCAGCTCAAAGTCCCAACCCACTCAATAAGGCATACTTCCAATGAAACTAGTAGTGAAGAAATGTTTAATAAATAGGAAAAAATGAGCTATAAAAAACTTGCAGTTGACACACTAAACAACAAAAGACCAGTTTAAACTGAATTAATTCGAAAGCAAACAAGCCATTTGCTACAACAAACAGTCATCCATGCTGTAAGACAGGCTGAATAATTAACTTTATTGAATCAGAAATTAGTAAAATACATTAATCAGATCCTTTATTTATTCTCCCTCTTTTCACTGTGAGGTTTCTATTTTTTTCCCTGGAATGAGGAAAGGTATTTTCACCTTTTATCTTCTCMCCTCCTCAAATGAACTAAGATATATGCTACCTCTCCCTCTGAGAAATGCAAACTTTCACACTGAAGCCATGGTAACATGATGGATCACTAACYACAGCATTCTACCTTCAGTATGAGAATACTACTTCCTAAGAAATCACCAAAAGAGAAAAYCTTAGCTATTTTCTCTGTGATAATATCTTGTTCCAATCCCTTTCCACATTTCTCTATATGCTTACCAGTTATTCCACCTGTTACTTGCCCCTATTCTACCTTCAAAAGTTCCTGAAATTCCATTCTGKTTCTAACATATTCTTTACCTCTAAYTACACTGTTTTTCTGTCACTTTTCTACCCAGAATTTTGCCTTGACTGTATATTTCTAATTTTGACACTGTTGCCTGACTTCCTACACCTGCCAACCATGACTAAACCACGTTTATCTCCAAAGGACTTCTGAAACTACATCCAAAGGTAAATAAGTATGGAAAAAAAACAAACCCAAACCTATTTAAATTCACTTTTAGCTATAGGAAAGGGACACAGGCTTATCAGTCTGCAAGAAAAAATGACTATACACAGGGAAATTAACTGTCTGTTGCTTAGCACCTTAATATTCTCCCATTGTATGTACCTGCACTCGTTATTTGATATTCTGGTATTCTTGTTTCTGTTTTCTTAGAGATGTAAGGAGAACCTCCRCAGAGTTACTGAAGTTATTATTAAATCTCAACGTAGCTGGGCTAAGAAAATACTGTAAGCATGAGTCATGAGGTCTCATGCAAAGATTACAGCATTACAACACTGTGCCTTCCCTGCAAGACCTCCACTGCTGCCTATCAGATATTTACTTAAAGAATGCATTAAAGGAGAAGGAAGRATAACAGGCACCACAATCTAAATTCTTCCATGATCCTCCAATGTTATGAACACATGGCAGATTSTACAGCAAAACAGCAGCAGATCTGAACGAGACTATCCTGAGGAGCAGTAGGAGTAGGTTTCCCTGCCTGCTCTGCAACCACATCTCCCTGGCCCTTTGCCCTCCTTACCTGCTTTGCAACTGCAGCTCCCTGGCCCTTTGCCTGAGGGCTCTTTTTAGGTCTTCTGCCAAGCATGTTGGTTCATGAATTTCAGCGGACTGTGTCTCTAAGGGACTGAGAGCACACAGAACTTAAAGTCAGCGCCCTGCCTGTCCCAAGGCACAGCCCACCGCACGAAGGCAGGCGGCGCGACCCCTCAGCTTCCCSGGCACCCCTCACAGGACACCCCCGCCGTGAGGGAGGCGGGGCAGCGCCGCGGGACGCGCTCRGCGGGGCCCTGCGAACCCGGCCCGGCCGCACCCGCGCTCCGCCCGGCCGGCTCGGCGGGACCCGGCGGCCAAGGGAGGGGCCGCGGGGGCGATGGCCGAGAGCCGCGCAAAGAACCGCGGTGGGGCCGCCCGGCAGAGCCCGGCCCCGCTCACCTCTGCTCCCGCCCGTGCGGCCGCAGCTCCCGCCCGGCGCGGCTCGGGGAGGGCCCGCCCGCGGCCCCGGCGGCAGTGCGGCTGCGCGAAGGGGCGGGCCCGGCCCGCAGCCACGGCCCCGCCGGGGGGTGTCCGAACCGACCCCCTGCACACACCGGCAACACCGGGGCCGCTGCTCGGAAACAATCCTTGGTATTGATCGACCAGAAAAAGAGTTGGGGATTTGAATGGCACAATTTGTGCGGTATTTTGACAGTCTTCTCCATTCCTGAGTCTGGACTGCAAACTCAAAGTTCTTTTTAATTATTTTAGTAATGAAAGTTTAAGCCCAGTTTAACACAACCTTTCGTTGAGTATAAAAGTCAATGAGGAAAACTTAAGAGTCTTAACATGAGTTTTAACAAAAAATAGCAATGCAAGCAATCCATTTCAAGTAATCCATTTCAAAGAMTCCATTCCAAGTYCATRCACCTCAGTTRAAAGRGGACCGGTTAMCAGCTCTTAGAAATGTCTAAAAACAAATAGTTTGAAATATTTAAAATGCTTTGAAATCAATTCTTTATTATCAAAAGGAGTGCATTAAGTAAGCAAAGCATTTTAAAAAAATACATTTTGCTATTTCCATTTTATCAACAATTAATTAAAATAGATGGTATTTAAAATATTTATACATACTAAAAGCAATAAAATCTTTTACTTTATTCCTCCCTGAGTGCATACATRACATCATCCTGGCTGAGGTTCAGTCGCACCCGCACATGCAGATATTTATTACTGGCCTCTACCAGCAAGAGCCKGCAGGCACCAAGTCTGGAACAAATTGCCATAATTTCTGACACTGTAGGACTCTGCAGGCCTTCCATCCTGCACAAGGCCACGTGGTGCCGGTAGACCTGTTGGAAAAAAGAAAGGGACACAGGTTATGTTTACTGCCTGCATGCCAAAGTGACAGAGAGAAGCTTTCTTCCCCCACATCCATGGGAGGGGAGCTAAAACTAGCTCCACCCTGTTCAAATGCTGTAATTTTATATAAAAATGTTTAGAACTGTATAAATATCTAAGCATTAATATTTAGCTTCCACACAACTCATGACTACTCTGCAGTCTTCACAGTTTTGCTGGCWGCAAGCATTTTATGGGTCTACTAAAAAACTTCTAGTGATTCATCTGCCTCTATTGAGAAAAACAGTGATACACAAATTGAAATCAACTTTCAGTTTTCCTCCTTGGACTGTTGCCTGATAATTTCAGGTTGTTTTTTATTTTTTTTGTGATAAAGTATGTTAGGGTAGAAGCATGAGAYGCTTTAATATGCAAAGAAAAAGAAAAATCACTTTGTGATCCAGATCACTGGTAACATGACCAAAAAAGCCCCATACCTGTTGAACTGTTGCCTCCTCAACTCCTGCCCTGCGAAACTCTGCTAAAATTGCTTTCAAGAAGATTTGTTCATGCAATGAAGCATTCCTGAATCCAAAACAAAACAGAAAAAAAATCCATTTGTGAAGGTGAGAAYCTATGAAACATCAGAAGGAAGTCTGGAAGGGAAATTGCTTGGGAACAACATATCTGAACACCAGGTGGGCAGCGTATGTCACACCTGACCATTATATTACAGCCTACAACTCTGGCATCACAATGCTTTTTAAAAAYGAAAGCTGTTTAARAGACAAAAGCAAAGGAAATGTTTTTACCTGATTGCATTGACATATGGTGATGAAAACATTTCATCTATGGCGTCAGTCACGTGGGACATCCTGACAATCTCCGGGGTTCTCTTCTGCCTGGCAAACTCGCAGATCTCTGTGGCTCTCCTGCAGATGTCCAGGCACCGCCGGGCATCCCCGGACAGCGCTGCCACCTGCAAGTGAATGTGACAGATTYCTAACAACATTTCCTATGAGCTGGGAGAAGTTTACCAGAAATCAATAGACAAACAAAACCCAAACACTCTGAGCATCCAACGGGAGAGAAGCATCTCTGAACTACCTTACTACAAATCCAAAACCTCAACAACCTTATTGACCAAAACCAACAGAGGCAACTCTCCCACATCCCCACCCTGATCTGGTCATCACAAATTCAAGACTGAACTTTATTCAATAATCACAGAAGTCAGAGGTTAAAAAATAAAATTAAAGGTGAGCAATTCACTTCCACACCAAAAGCTTTCAGAAGTATCAGCTTAATTTTTTACCATAATCCAGGTTCATGCAGAGGGAAAAAAAAAAAAAAGCAGGGGGTGGCTATGACACAAAAACAAACCTCCTCGGTTTTTCTATCCTCATTAAAATACTGATTTTRAGAGTTCTAATAATTTTAGACTGTCTCAAAGAAATATCTGGGATAATCAATTTACAATTACAAGTGCCTGCAATTTCTGAAACAAAATACTTATTAAAACCCCAATTGTGCTTTACAATTTTAATAAAGCTATGAACAGTCACTAGATGTAGTACCAGCCTGGTGTTCCCAGTAGATGTTGGTAACATACAAGAGCCCTAAAACCCAGCTGGGGCCAAGAATGAGAAACCCTTTAGAAAATCTAATTGCAAGGTATATTTCTGTATTTTCTAAAGAAAAATCATGCTAGCAAAACACTGCAATTATTCAATCTGCAAAACTGTCACTATTATTCTTACAGAAAGGCGGTTCCTTCACAATAAAACATCACTTATATTTACTTCTGACACATTTATGAGCACTCTTTTTTAATTCTACAATGATGCTGGATGTTTTGACATAATTTTAATAGATTACTTTAATATAGAGTTGCGAATACAACATATTAGCAATGCACATACCTCAAACTGAGAAGCTACTGATCCCCAGTGAATTACTTATTTTTTTGCAACTGAGTATTAAGACCTGCAAACATAACAGGTACTATCTATTATGCCAAGATACTAAACATCTTGAGAAAGAAAATGAACATGGTTATTTCCACTGCCACTGGCATGCTGTCTTTTTCAGGATTCTCCAATGACTCACATTATGCTAAACAGTGGAGACAGTTGACATCTTATCATCATGCATTATCACGACTCTTGTTGTCATGCCTTCAGCTCTTGGAATATGCTKCTGCCTTCTCAGAGTAGGTGGGAAAAGCAAGGACAGTGCTCTAGCAATGTCTTCTGAGAAAATACCCTGAATAATGAACTGCTACTTGTGCCCYACTTGCCTCCATTACAGAACAAAACAACAGAACCAAGTCTAAGAGCTGTTACAAAACTGTCCTTGTTCTCCCCACACTCTTTACCCAGTGCAACATAAAGGACTTTTATCTGCTCTGTGCTCACCTTTCTGGAAACCAGCTGAAYTGCATCCTCTTCAAATGCCTTCACACCCTTCAGTCTGGATGAAACAATTTGCTGTAACTGTTTGTAGGTGTAGGGCTGAAAGGACATTCTGGTGAGGCCCTACAATAAATGACAGCACAGTGAGAAATGTTTGTGGTGCTGGAAAACGCTCAACTGCTCAAGCATGGCCTATATGGCTGGTTTTACTTTTTCTCATAGGAGCAATCAGTCTTTTACATCCTTTCCCTCCAAGTGACATGTTTTCATATTTGTGAAATAAATGTACAAATCCACAAAATTGTGACCCAGTGAGGATCAGTGGCTGGATCTTCCCACTGAAAGGCCTGAAAAGCAAGTCCAGATGCTATTAGAATTCAAATTTATCTGATAAAACTTTTAAACAAATCAGAGATCCCAAATGCAAAAAAAAATTATTACATCTGTCTATATATTATTTTTTAATACAGTAGGAAAAAAATATGTCTCCTCTAGCAAATCTGTGTGTGTACTGACTTCTGGTTAGCCATCAGCCAAGAATTAAAAGTCCTCTTCTGGTCAAGCTAATAAGAACTGCTCTCAGATGAGGACAATCTGTTACAGATGGTGCATGGCCTTTCATACCCTACAGGAGACATAAGTTTTGAATTTCTTATGCAAAACTCTTCTCTTGTGACTATATGGACTCAGCTGATCTGGAGTGGGCTTAGTAGGTGGGGGAAAGCAATTCACACCCTGTGGAGCTGTTTTTGAGTCATGGAAGGATAGAGGCATAGAGCACTGCTTTTGCAAACCACTTTTCAGAGCTGTGATGAGATGACCTAGGAAAATGTATTCAAAACAAGTGGAGAGTGCATCCAATTTTCTTTGTTGGATACCTTTATATAATCTACCAGCTGATGATGACAAATAGGGAAGTAGGTGCCTGGAATGAAAGGGGAAAGAAGCAAAACCAGAAGAGAATTCTTCTGAACTCTAGAGTAAGCAGTTTAACCATGAAGCCCARCATTTGATTATCCAGATCTTAATATATTTTAAGACATTCATATTCTTATTTCATTCTTACAAGAACACAGTGTATGTACACAGCATAATATCTGATTAGCAAAGAAGCTCCTCAACTTACATTGCTGAGATTTATGTGTTCATTATCAGCCCTCTAGAGAGGGAATTATAAAAAACATTGTTCAGCTTCTGATATAACCAATCCTACTTTTTTCCCTAGATTGCTTTGATTGCATCCAGTATTTAATCTGTTCTTATCTTATGGCATAGCAACAGAACTGCTAAAACATACCAGCCTGCTTGCTACTCTGTTCATCATGATTCTCTCTGGCAAGTCCATGGTGTTGGCAATGGCCAGGATGATTAACTTGGAGTGCTTTTGGGTTGGCCAGTCAAATAAGTTGTACATCACATTCTGTTTCCGGGTCCACAGCAGATCAAGCTGCAGAGGTAAAACAAGAAGAATCAGACTGGAAAAAAGAATGGCCTTTTATTTACAACTCCTGATGGGGGTTTGAGAACCAGCTCTGCCACAGAGGACTTTTCACATGATTCTGAACAAGCTGTCTGTGTTGCCTTTCCTTTATCCATCCACTAATAGGACTGCATTTTCTGAATTGGAGCTCTAATCTGTTTTGGAAAAGCACAGTCCTGCTGGATGCTTAACAGTATTAATCACAACAGTGATTAGGCAGCTGGAGTTTTAAAACACTACTGTGATGCTAATGYTACATCTAACAAGATTCAAAGACCCTCCAAGTGAGAACCTGAATTAGCTWACAGCAAAAGTAAGAGTGCATTTGGTTATTAGTGAACACAGCATATTCAAGGTTTTTCAAAATTGGGTATGACTTATTTCTCTGTGAGTTTTCCCATTGGAAAAGTAGCAGGTTCCAGACAAAATAAAGTAGAATCCTCTGGTATTAAGAACTCAACAAACGAATTATTCCATGTCTTGGAATAACAAAACATAAAACCAGTTTGAAATCCAAGGCAGAGAACAACATGGCAACAGGATACTCAGACTTTTTAGGAAACTGAATTTAAATAGGTAAGAGGAACTATTTGTGTCTCCCCTCTCCTAAGTCTATTCCTGTTACATCACATGTGATACAGTCAAAGCATACATAACTTGTCTTTTTCCCTCCTCCACAAACTCATTTCTCAGAACACTTGAMGGAAAGAAAACAAAGGACTCTTTGCCTCACCTCATCCACTACAAGCACTGTGGTCTTCCTCTTTGGCCCAGGTGTACTGAACAACTTTGCCAGCAGTACTGCAGCATGGGTTGCTGTCACCTTCTGACCTGTCAGGAACTGCACAAACATTGAAGGTTAATCACACCAAACCCCTGGAAATACAAAGTTTGAATCCATTCAGTTCTGCCTTTYCCTAACATTCAACACCAAACATCTGGATTATTTTTCCCATGGGGAAGGGAAAAAAAAAGAAAAAGTAGCTCATAAGACACTCAGGTCTACCAAGAACTGCWCAAGAAGAAGAGAAACAAAACAACACATAACTAAACAGAAAGACCAATATAATTTTCTGCAATTTGTCTTAGAATCATTAAGAAATCCTGAACCCACCCAGTGTAGAGGGCTCTAAACCCAGCATATCTCAAGGGTATCTCTGWATGTACACACCTACTGAAAACCTAAGTCAGCTGACAAGAATAGCCTGAATTCAATAATCTTGGACTCCTATTAAAATTTTAATGAATCATCAGCAGGATCTATAATTAAATTTRTTCAACTGTGAGCTAAAAAAATACCTGCAATACCTTTTGCAATTATGTGGCAGAACAGATGAGCTGACTGTACATTACCTCTTCCCTTGCAAGTCCAAAGATATCCAGAAATCAAASCATGACATTTCAAAATTACACTGATGCTGAATCAATTGTTCATCATAGTTCAAAGTCAAGCMATAAAGCAAAATGGAGAYTGCATTTGARAACTCTATTTCTTTTCTAAAATCAYRYAKAAATCTGAGATTTCAYAATTATATAACAAGCCAGAGCATGACATTAATGTATAATGTACTTTTGTTTCATGTTTCCAGTTCAGTYAGGACAGTGTGAATCAGTCACAGGAAGCAGTTGCATCCCAGAAAATCCTGATTCTACAGCTCTGGAGCTGGGTCTCCAATATACCACAGTTCAGTCACCGTGGTGGAAYTGGACACTTGCTGTACCCAAATATTTAACCTTATTTCTTTCACCTGTCCACGGCTTCCAGTCCCTGTTCTATCTCTATAAATCTTCCTACAGCAGTGAGGTAACTGCAAAAGGGAAGCTCCAGGGTTTGCTTCAGCCATGCAAAGAATCATCAGCAAACTGGAGCTCGGCCTGCAGCAATCATAAAAGCAGCCTTGCTCTTAGCCAGGGTACTTAAATGGTAGCTGAGGCAGAAGGAATCATGTGACTTTGTACTCCCTGAAGGGTGCTTAACTGGGCTAGCTTTGAGTTCAGGACCTGTGGGRGACAACAGATTTTATTTCCAAAGGCCTATTCTTTATTCATTTTATAATTTCATGCTGAATGAGACAGGAACAAAGGATGTTAAAATACATTCACACTACCATGAAATAAGGTAATTGTCAGGAAGCCTTGCACTAGGCTCAAAAAACAGTGGCCTGGTTTCAGCAAATGCCTCTGCAAGACATGGTCTSTGCTGGTTTGAGGAAAGAAAGCAAATATGCAAATTTAACTCCCAGCTATGAGGATAGGACATTAGAAAACTAATGTATGTCACTCCCTTCTTAGAAAGATGATRTCAGACTTAAATAAATGGAGCAGAAGTTTATATGAAAATGGAACAGATGCTTCAGGAAACCATTTGATTTCCAGGTCACTGGCCTAAAGTTAGCCTAGACCAAGAAAGCTCTTGAGCAGTTACTGTCTAATGCCTCCTGGGTGATCTTAATCCAGTCCTCAAAAGATTAATTCACACCCATACAACATAAGCCCAGGCAGTAGKCCCAGATGGATGCTGCAGACTCGTTTGTTATGGATATCAGAAATACACTTTTGCTGACAGGGATGGCCCCCCCTTAACTGAATTACTATTATAACTAACCAGTTAACCATTAAGACACCCCCAGAAATTATTCTACTGCTACACTGACTTTCAGAGTTGTCACCTTAGTAGCTGTTTAAGCAGATGTGCAGAAAAAGTTACATTATGGGAAAATCTAAAAGGCTGATTTAGATTTTTCTTAGATGAGTAGATGCAATAAACCAGGCCATTTCTCAGCCATTACCTTTAGCCAAGAAGTTGGCTAAGGCCCTAAATTAATTATTTTCTGATCTGCTCTAAGATAAAAGCACAGTCTCTTAGAGGGACTTGGAAGTACTAATAAGTGCCTTGAATACTAAAACATGTAAGGATCTGATGGTAAAGCACAGTATCTCTTCTTTCAAAGAGCCACTGAGAAGGCTTTATTTACCTCTAATATCTGCACATAGGCTTGGTGAGGGTCTGTCAGCTTCATGCCATTGATCTCCACACACTGGAATGGTGGCAGTTCATCATTTTCTGCAGCTTGCTGAAGACACCGAATTACTTCATGAACAGTTGCAGTTTTACCTGTTCCAGGCACTCCAGAAATGTACATGCACCTACAAAAGGAGAACACCCCTTCAGCAGCCTGAGCAAAATGGTAACACTCTTGGGATTAATGAGCTGGAATTCCTGACCTCTGACAMAAGTCTTGAATACTCCTCTGTCACTTCAGGCAATTCCCTATATTTCAGTTACTTTATCTGCAAACTGGGACACAACACATTGGAGGATCATGAGGATTTTTATCATTACTGCAACAATTAACCTCAAATATTTTATAAATGTAATTTACCTCTTTAAAAAATAATTTCACGGACATCTAAAATTGACTAGTTATATTCTGGTCTTTAATTTGAATCTGCAGAATAAATAAGCTCACACTAYTTCTATGCACAGCACCACTTAAGGAAGAGAAATACCAGGAAAAKTGAACTAGGAGCTTAAAATGATTATAACTTTTAAAATATAGTGTTTATCATTTGACTGCTGTTATACCACAGGCAGATGTAATCTTGGTTACAGTCTTGCCAAACTCACCCTCCTGTGCCATCAATAAGCTTGCTTTCCACAAAGTTATAGATATCCTGGAATTCTTCCTCACGACAAGGCAGAGATTCTGGGATAGCAGAAACATGCAGCCTTTAAATTTAAAAAAAAAGAAAAGAAAAAGAAAATTGAAATTGCAGTTCTCTCTGAAGAACTGATGCTCACCTTTCACAGCTGTGTGGAGTTTTTCAAATATATCTTTACATGCTTTTAAGTCTGACCATCAACGTCAAGTGTCCCAAAAGAAACAGCCCAGTCTCTCTCTATATACTCTTAATTTATACAGCAATAAAGATCTGTTTCAATTGACAGACTATTTGTGCAGAGGGAGAATAAAACAGGAGATACTGCTTATAGGAAATAGAACTAAAACCCAGTTTGAAAGACAGTCTTTCTTTTTTTTTTTCCACTGTAAAGACCTACAGTGATATCTGCAAAGCTTTTTCACACACCAAAAAGAGACAAATATTGTACCTTTACAATCTAAAGCTCATCAGAGAGGATATTTGTTTTTCTAATGTTGCAGAGAACAAAGATACCTAGTTCTGAAGAACTCAGCATGGACTGGCTATAGTAATTTAAAATTGTGAAGGTAGTATTGTAAATCTAGTATAGTAAATTATTAAAGGCTCTTCTTGTATCAGAACACCATGCATTTTAACCAATTTTATTCAACATAATAAAGATGAAATTCCCTATTTCAGCACAATCTACTGCTGTGCACACCTGATGCAAAAAAATATGATTTTCCTGAGCACAAGTTACCTTAATCTAGCTTCTTCCAGTACACTAGCTGGTTCCTGGGCTGCCTGGATGCGCCTGGGAATCTCTGGAGTTGCATTCCGGGGTGTTCTGGGTGTTCTTGATAAAGGCTGCAAGGAGAAATTACAACCTCAAGCAGATTTTCTACAAACAACAATTTCTGTTGGAAACAATCCATTCATACAAGTTTCTTAAACATTACTAATGCCAGAGTACAAACAATCCATTCATACAAGTTTCTTAAACATTACTAATGCCAGAGTACAAGATGAAGAGAGAAACACTACATAGGGAATTACCAAACAGGCCTTATGGTGTTTTCTTCCTAAGAGAAAAAGGAAACTGGAAAGGGGGTGGTGACAATTACACCTATTAACTGTCTGGAGAATTTTTGAGTGGTTAATCCTTTTCTGAAATGCTGTGTTACAAAATGATCTGTTTCTTAAGAAAGGCAGCKGAGCCAGTTTTTTCCCTGTTTAGGCTAGTTTTCTAATCAATATTGTCACAATATTCACAACATGCAAATGGCATACATTTGCATAACTTACTGATATCAAAGATTAAATTAATYCAGATAATGCTACATTAAAAGCTAASGGGTTCAGATACYTAACTCTGGTACACATGMATCAAGCATTCAARTAACTGCCTCAGAAATGATAAAAAYAGGTCTTTTAYATGGAACCTTACAGTTTTCTTTGGTGTCTTTGCAGGAGTGTGAACTGCAGATTTCCTTGAAGATTTTGGGGTGCTGGATTTAGTTTTCTTTTCKGGTGTACAAGGCACATCATCATCCTCCTCTTCCTCACTACTTGAAGAGTAGGAACTGTCAGAGCTAGACAGAGTATCTTCCTGGTTCAACACGCTATAAGAAACAGAAATGACTTGAGCTTTAAAAAAATCCCATCCAAGTCTACACATCACAAAGCACCATTTGCACATTTTCAGCTTTTTCTGTAGTTCTTGTATTCAGCAAGCCAATAAGTTTTCCACTTCAGCTCCTACTTTTCCATGGCTTTTTAAAAGAYTGATTTAAAGGAAGTCAGTTTTCTGAAGAACACCAGGAGTCAGCTTTATGTTTCTGAACATAAAAGTTTTTTACCCATGCTGCAATTAAACTATGCTTCTAGAACCATTTGCATTTCAATATTAAGCCAGAGAAGCTCTCAAGGTTTCAAGCTATCAACAGCAATCTAAACAAGAGATCATGGCTGCAGGGTTTACCTGATTTGCTCTGCAATGAGAGCACTTGTTTTCTGTGCACATGTTCTGCGAGAACGAGGGGTCAACATAGGGCTCTGAGTGCTCGGTTTCTGATACCCAACTAAACTGTAAAGAAAGAAAACAAAGCTGGTTGTATTCCCTCTCTTTGCATCACACTTGTAAAGACACAGAGAAGGCCTTTCAAACTTCAGGCTCAATTGTTACACTGTCAGTCCACCATGAATTCTTATTTGTTGTTTACAGATTGGCTATGGCGTGGATACTGGCAGCACAACTTCCCCCCTCTTGCACTGTGCCTTCAATACCTCTTTGCCAAGAAAAACAAAGTATTTGCTGTATTTTGCACTGACAATCTGAAGGGACAGGGGCTCAAAACAGCTGTGGTTTTATTTAACGGAAAAGTAGAGTTTTTTTCCTATTTTTTTTTACTTAAGAGAAAGATGAGGAAAATATTTTCTTTGGGCATCTCTTTGATCTAATCTACAWGAGAATGTATTTTTCTCTTTGTGTTTTGATATTCTTTGGTTGTYTTTCTTACTAGCTCAAAGGACAAATTGAGATGAATTACAGATACTTTAATTATTTGTTGATCCTTCTCAGCAATTCTTTTAGATCTGTACATACTACTGAAATGTCATTACTTATCAATGAAAGGTAAAAATTCTCATGCCATATGGTGACAAAAAAAAAGTGCAAATTCCATTGTTGCATCCACAACAAGGTAGACTTCACCAGCTTTTCTCTCCAGAAGMCTTTCATCAATGTGTTTTAAGAGAGCTTCATACAAATAGAAATCCCATACAAAAACAATGATAAAAACACTGTCACTTACGATATAGTGTCATCTTTCACATGAAGATTCTTGTCTTTTTCACTGAAATCTCTGATTTTAGTGTAKGGGGACAATCGTATTGTGTCACTGAACCTCTGGCAGTCCTCTGCAGTCTCAGATGCTGACTTGGACTTGTCATTGCTGCAGGGGATTTTTGGTGGTGAGCCTAAAATGTCACTTGTGAACTTCACTTTTCTTTTAGTAGCTGATGGTTCTAATGGTGCTACAGCGTCAAAGTCATCATCCAAAAGACCCAAAACTTCACATCCCAGGAGCCTGCCTTTAGATCTTGTAGGACCTAGAAATGAAAAGCAAAATGAACTTTTGCCAGGCTTCAATATGGCTGGTTTGGTTAACTTTCAGAAGACGTGGTACGACTGGCTCAGTGACTGTTGTATAAAAGAAAGAAGGTGAGTATTTCACTCCAGGAACAAGGAACTGCGTTTTCAAAAAGTATGCACTTCCTCTAAAAAATTACTAAATAGAAGACAAACCATTTTTTCAGTTTTCTAACCCACCTCCATCACTTAAAATTTGAATCAGGTTCCACATTGAAAATACTGCATGTTACACAGGATCAAATGTGCTTATTCAACCWGCTCAATGTAAACATTTTAGTGCAYAATTAGTCAGAAGATTAAAGAGAGTGGGACATTCTGAGGTCAAGTTAAGCTGATTGGTAGCATTTCAGTCARCAAACCTTTTAATTTAGATTTATCAGATACAAATAAAGCATTTACAGCAGCAKTTGGACATAGGCAGTACAGTGCTTGAAACAACAGACAAGACAAACAACTGATGTGCTCACAAGGCTTGGGCTGATTCCAAAGCCTGAACAAGGTAAGTAAAAATACTGATGATTGAATGTTACCATTGTTTGAACTACCCAAAATGGAGAAGCACAAAATATAGTACAGAGCTACAGAACAGACAAAATATTGCCATATACATACTGTTTAACTCCAGCTTCTTCCTTGCTGTCGGGGTTTTGATGTCACTATTAGCCACTCGTTGACAATGCCTCTCCTTAGCAAGGGAGGACTTGGAAGCAGAATGTTTTGGCTCTATTTTCATATCAACACTTTTTGGTTTTGTGGCACTCCGAACAAAACTCTCCATCTCTTTTTTCACAGGTGTAAGGTTGTCTGGAGGAATGAATGCTTTTGAAGAGTTTGATATGACACCTCTTKTCTTGCTAGCTTCTTTCAGCTTAGAGAATGTGTCTGGGGACAAAACCTTAAAGCACTTCCCATCCCAAGACTGTTTGACATAGAAAGGTTTTTCCTTGTTTAATGTAATAATAGGCAGTTCCTCATCCAGATGTAGTGGTAGTACCTGCAAAAACAGAAAACACCAAAACACRCATACATTAATGTTTACTGTTAATTTAGAATTCAGCTATTTTCTATTCATAGGTCTCATTACTGTAACTCATGCAATCATTAGTTACTAATTTACACTAYGGGGCAGTTGCTGTTTCTTTCTTCCCTCTCTGTGTAAAAAGGGTTGCAGTACATACCCCGATGCTTTTAATAATGGTCTCTGCTGCTATATCAGTGTCATAACCCAGAATCTGATCCAAAAACACCTCCTGGGGAGAAACCTCTCTTTTAAGCAGCTTCCGTTTGTTCTGAGGTATCTCCTCCAAACGACAGAACCACTGCACAACTGCACGTTTATGCTGAGCACCTGCAACAAGGAGAAACAGTCAGGGAACATGAGTTTTACTGAGTCACAAATAGTGCCACACTTTAGCTGAAATGGCACCAAGCGTAGAGATCCTCCTTGGACACAGGTGAAAAAGCATCTGATAAAGAGACTGCAATTCCCATTTTCAAGGCTAAATTAAAATGTCTGAGTTGAGAATTTCAGTGGGCTAAGGTAACACCTACACAGGTCTAAATCACAAAATCCTTGGAGGCCAGCTCCAGACCACCAGTTCCCTATCATAAGCAAAGASGTTCCTTATTTGCATGGATATGATCTCCTCAAACCCTGTTAACTAAAAGCAGTGACATAGAAGGAGAACTGAGAAATTTCAAGACGTTATTTGTAGCGCCATTTTATTTGCAGAAGCCAGAAACACATTTTTCAGTGGCTGACAAACCAGGGATTATTGCAGATGAAACAATTTGTTTTTAAGGAAGTTTCATGGGTTTCATTCCAGTATGAGAGAATGTTCAGTTGCACTACAAAAAAGTGCATTAGTAAATAAATAAGCTGGAATTATATGTATTTATGTTTAAAAAAAGGTAAAGAAAATAAAAATCCCTCAAAGCATTATTATTATGGCACAAAAAAGAACAAAAGCTATTCAAAGAAATCTTACATAGCCAATGAGTAGCTCCCAATTCAGACTCAGTCTTTGTATCACTCACACCTCATGAGTTACCTTTTCTTATCTATCTCTACAAGGGATAGAAGTAATAATCCCATTTATTCAGCCTTGGGCATTATTGTTAAATTGCCTGATATTTATTAAGATGTAAGTTTAATGGCTGCAGTGCTCTTGCTCCATTTGGATTCTCCAATCTCTACATAAAGTACAAGTTCACATTGTGTTCCTCAAGAACCACTACTTTTAAATTAGACAATTACATAAAATGACTATAAAAATTACAACGTGCTTAAACTTTCCATTTATGTATCAAATTTAGTTGAAATTTGCCATCAGTCCCAAATATTTGGAGAAGCATGTGAGAACAGATGCAATGATTACCAAAACTTGAATGTTCTTAATAAATTAGGCCAGTGACATAGTGCTGCTATCTACACCCACACGAAAAAGGTAACTTTAAAACATTTAACAATTCCTCAGATATATTTTTTTTTTCTTACCATCTTCATATAAATCCACAAGTTGTGCCACGTAAGGCTGATCTGCATTCACCCCTTCAACTAAAATAAAGTCACCAAGTTGTATACACGTTTCTGTTTTGCTGCGTTCTGATGTAATAATAATCCCCCTAGAAAGTGACACACACAGGAAGATTAGGAGAATTTCATACTCTTCAAAATTCAGATATCATTAAACCTGCTGTCTAACAACTTTACAGTTAGTTATGCCCTTACTTGCAATGCTTACAACTTAGTCCCCCRATTAGAAGTTTTCATATGTATTTGAATTAGTTAAAACTTATTCACAGATTTAGTTARATGCTTTTGCTTATACATTATACTRTTTATAATTCAAGAGCTTGGTGACAATGCTGTAGTTATATATATASAGTGTCATGACAAAATGCTCAAAACTTTACTCACATTCTCACTTACTGCCATTTTAACCTAAACGATATAAGAAAGGTAAAGAAACATTCACTGATTAAGTTTCCCTGAGCAAGACAGAAATAAATGTTATTTACTTGTACTGGAAAGTCCTCAGCTTTCTGTCTGAGCTCGCAGGTCTTCCATACCAGGAGTAGGTAAGTTTGCTTTGCTGCCGGGTGTTCATGATTCCCAAGGAAAAGCTGAAACAAATAAACAAACACTTTTTGATTATTATTTAAAAACAAAAAAAAAAAAGGAAAGAGAGGAAGATACAGAGAACTCCTATCAGTTCGTTCAGCGAACTGATGAAAAACGTGGTAGTTGACACAGAGAAGCCTAWGTTCTCCAAAGCCTCGTGACACTCCTCCCAGGGAAGATGAAAAACAGAAAGATGTTTAGTTGCGAATTTTTCTTCCATYCCCCCGCGGCTCTCCGGCCCTCACCGCCACGGCTGTGCCCCCTGTCCGCCCTGGGAAGATCGAACCTCGCTCCGAGCTGGGCGAGACCGTCACCGACCTTTCACTTCCGCTCAATTTTTATGATTCGGTTTCGTTTGGRGTTTTTAAWTTTTTTTTTAAGTATAATTTTCGTCTGGAAGCTCGGGGTAAAGCCACACACAGCCCCCAGTGTCATTCACCGCCCCAGCCCGGGCGGCACATGGCGGCTGAGGGGCCACTGCTCGGGCGGGAC